GAATTTTAATTTTAATTTAATTTTTTTTTCTTTTTATTTGTGTTCAAAACACTTGCCGTATATGCGACATGCTGCATGCTATTTATTGATTTTTATTGATAAATTGAAATAATCTCGAAGAGTACAGTGCAATATATACTGTAAATATATTTTTTCAATTCTTCGATTTTTTACGTTGGTTCTAATGATTGCGTGGATTGATCAATCAATCGTTTTTTCGTGAATGACGAAACGAGCGTGAGTTCCATTTAGGCTCGATCATTTGATAATCTTGACATTTCATGGCCTTAAAAAATCGAAAGCCAGCATCAAAACCCAGATTACATGGAACGCGTGATTTTTGTTGCATCAAATGAATACTGTATTATTTGCCTAATTATGTATACGTTGCTAATCATCATAATGATCTGTTTTCATAGATTGATTAAAAAGGCAATCTTGGTTAATAAATTACCATACAACAAATAATGATCATAATAATTATTAGCAGAAGAATGATCAAATTAAGATTGATACATGCGTACACAAATACGCATAGATTTTGTGTGTTTATTTGCGATGCGCTTTTTTTCAAATCCACGGTGAATTAAATGAACCTCGCGAGCCTAGTTCAAATCGGAATCGAATTAATTTGGACGGCAAAGGAGGAAACAAGAATTAGACGATTTGCAAAAGTTATTCGTGTGACATGTTTGAGCATAGTTTTTGTAACATGTCAGATAACAGAAAAATCAACAAAATTCAATGAATAAGAAGACGAACCAATTTGTTGGTTGATACAGTATTTTGTTTAATTAGAAATAATAATAACAATAATTGGCCTCATGATGAATGATTCTTTTTGGAAATAATGACCGTTCCATAGAAGGAATAGTAATTTGTGTCATGAAACCTCGGCACCAAGATGCGTTTACTTGGCGGAAAATAAGATCTTCGGCTATTTTTCATGTGAAACATTGAAAATAAAAATGTTATATCAAATTTTATTGATCAATAAATTCTGGACGATTCGAAACATTCGAGTTTACCGATTCGACTGTTTCGAAATATTTCCGAAAAAATATGGTTTTTTTAATGATGGCCGGTTAACAGAAATACAGTACGTGAAAATTCGAGAATGGACCTTTTAACCCTAAAGCAACCAACAAATATGCATTTATCGAATAAGATGTATTCTAGATGCAAGTACGTGCAGTACTCTCGTGTATTTAAAAGGCAATCGATCAATCTCATTATGGAAAGAAAGAATGCGTGCACAAGCTGGTATCACTTGCGTACCATCATCGCAGAAAGACTTTAAGTGTGTACTGGCTAAAAGAATTGGCCGGAATTCAATAGTATTATTAATTTCCAGGTGAAAGAGGTCATGTGTACATGACCATTTGAATAGAGAAGACCCACCAATGGTTATCCGAAGATCTGGCAAATTCATTTACACATACGGTCACGTTTTCTCAACGACTTACATTAAATTAAAACTTAAATTTATGCATGCAACGAGGTATGTTAAAGAAGCCGTGAGCATCACCAATTAAAAGAATTTTAAAATTAGAGTGGTTCATTGAGGCTTCTTGTTCTTTTCAAAGAAAAAAAAAAAACGTAGAATATTTTTTAAGAAAAAAACGACCATCCTTCATGCAAGGATATGCGTAACGTAAACGTGACTACACCAATAACGATGACATTGTGTCTATGGGTGTAACCATTACAAATTTGCCGAGAAATGGATCTTATCCCCACAAAAATTAATGCAAAATGTTTCATATTAAATTAGTACACAAGATATATACTGTATCTATTTTTTAATTCAAATAGTACCAATTACCATAATTGCAACGAGAAATCAATATCAATGAACCATGCCTTATATATTCTACCATAATTTCTCTTTCCATTTGACCCTTGATTTTTAGCAAAAAATTTAATAATAACGATAACCCCGTGGATCATACATATATTTCTTAGTTGGCAGAGGAAAAAAATGGAAATGGACCTATTCCGACTTCCGTGTAACTTCCATTCCTTTTAGTAATCGATTATTTCCGATACCTTTCATGGACAAATAAATTTGATGTTGCCACTTACGGAAATGTTGAATTTTTCATTGAAATTTTATTTGTTTTATCTACGCACATGCCTCGATTGCAGTTTGCAGATTATCTGTGAATCGTGTCAATCGATGCACGAAATGACTCACTGCGCACCGAAGAGAGGAAAAAGAGGACATAATCAAACCAACTGACAAATAAGGATTTTGGTTTTACCTCCACCCGCTCGTACGTAATAATTCTTTGTTACATAAGTGCATATTATTGCAGTTACTCAACGAACATCTGAAGCTAGTCGTACAAATATGGTACGCAATATACCATATATGACAAGTGATTCTAAAAATGAACAATAATATTGGCCAATAAACCTATGGAATGTTATTCCAACAATCCTGAGAAAGGATAATAAGCGAAAGCGCAAGAACGATTGAAAACAAAGATGCGAATAAGTCCTCAAGGTCTCTATTACCTGGGTTTTGCGTTTTTTTTTTTTTTCACACTTGAGCGTGTATCTACTTATAAAAACCAGATAGGAATAGCATTATTAAACTTAGTCCGGGTACCATGTCCCGAGCTTCGTATATTAATTTTTTTCACACCCGATTAAGAAATTCTTAAAAAGGGAATGAGATAATAAAGAAATTTGAACACGTGGTGCCTAATAGGTGGGGTGTGACACTTAAGCAAAAAGCTCTTGATGTATTGGTTGGGCTTGTAGTATTTAGTGTGCTTTATTATGATATGTAACAAATATTGATACAGTGTATACAGTACATACACATACGACTAGGAAATGTGAATGAGGAACGAATAAAAAGAAAATCAAGTGATTGTGTCGACCCAATTTAGTGAAGGAAGGAAGGAATGGTCGATTGTATTCTGACCATTGCAACAAAAATATTTATCATTCTTCTCTTCACACAATATGCCCTATTATTATCAACTAATCCACTGTTTTCCTTTCACCGCATATGTCAAGTTTTGTTTTCGAACTGATGACACGATGCTGCATCCTTGACCCTTTGTATGGCAATGATACTCCATGCCTATGCCAAATTTGGGTTGATTTTGAGTTAACTTAGATCGCAGTAAAAACAATCCATTATTTTGTTGGATTTTTTCTTTTTCATAAAGAAGATAGTTGAATCGTGGAACAATCAAGAATGTCGTTCCGATACGAAAATTAATTTCAAGCACCGAGGTGATTTTGGTGGCAATAATTCGCGCATTAATACATCACCGACGTTTAATGCAATACACGTTGTGTGTACATCGCACACAGGTTCTGTGCACCCGTGCATAGTAGATCTCTGATGCCTTGACCGAGGTTTTATGGATCTTTGTGTCTTTGTATTGATATGGCAATTCCTTGGGCGGGTATTATTATGTAATATTTAATATGTGTAAACTTAAAGGGAAGCAGGGATGAATGATGAATAGGAGAACGTGAATACCCACACTAAATGCAGATGATTTTCGGGGAAGGTGTTTTTAATATTAAATTCCATCAGCTGAGATCGGAGATCTGTCCCGTTGATTTTTTTTGGCAATTCCACTAATTACGTACCCATGCTTCCCAAAAGCATATGCTTTAGGGCGGAAAGACCCTACTGTAAGCATCTTGTTAATTAGCCCAACAAATATTATGTATTTCTGTCTACATTATATATTCATTCAATGCTGATGTATGTGTTACTGACACAGGGTGCACAATAATTTCTTTGAAACCCCGAGTGTTTGAACTCTTCGGAGACTCACACATCTCCTCACACTCCTCCCTCTCGTCCTCCCTCTCTCCCTCCCTCCCATTCACGGTCATTCGTTTCTTTCTCTTGAATAATTGTCAACAAGTGACTTCCAGCTTCACTCCTTTCTAATCCTGATCTGATTCTAACATTTGCTTTTCAGGGTGGTCAAGGAAAATCATGTCTCCCTCCGTCCAAACAAACTTTTTTCCGGAATCTCGGCGGTCATGTTATAGTATCACGCAAAAAAAAAAACGTCTCGTATTTCGCCTAGCGTACAATCACCACGGGCTACTTAGATAATTAATTACGTACTATCTATCATACACAGAATACACACCGGTATTATATTAGGTGCTTTCGTACCAATACTTATGTGCATATAAAAAAAATAAACATTTCCAAAATAATACAATATCATCGCATCTACGTACGTACTTACATACGCACAATTTGCACCGTTTACTTACTTTAGGTGTTAGACGTTACATATTTCAAAATATAAAAATACGTACATATAATTAATCTCTTTTCTTTCTCCTCTTTTTTTTTTTTTTCTTCCTCTTTCTCTCCAACGACTTTTACCCGAAAAAAAAAAAAAAATCCCCCCAAAAAGATATCATTATTATTATTTTTTTTTTTCGAACGTCCGGGAAATCTAGGCTGGCACCTTCTTGTGATAATTACTGCTCATAATTCGATTTCCTTTTCTTGCATCAAGTTTTGTTTTTTTTTTTGACTTGTAGTTGCACGAAGGTTGTATATTATCTATCTATCATCATTCCTATTATATATATACTTTTTATTGAAAAAAAAACAAAAAAATTCTTCCCTCACAAAGAATTCTATTCCTGCATCATTATTATTTCCAATTCCGCTGGTTTCCATCATCGATCCTTTTATTGTCATCGTACTCGTACTCGTACTTACTTACCTACTTACTTCACTTTCTCCCCCAAAGAAAAAAAATTTTTTGCACGTCTATAAATCCCACATATATCACAAATACAGTATATACATTTTAATTACATTGCACTCGGCATATCTATTGACTTGCATTTGACACCACTATCAGTTTATGCTTGCACTCAACACATAACACCTTGTCAACTATTACACTTACCACCTTGCAATAACATAATCCTCACAAGACCACGCACACGCGCACACACACAATCAACTCATCTTATCAGACTGACTCACAATGACTTCTGACGGAGGAAGTGCCGAAAGGACTTCGGTGCAAGTAGGTTAGTGGGTCAATCGATACCTTTATTTCTGAGCATTCGTTTTTTTTTTCTTTAAAAAAGGCTGGACGTAATAAAGTTGTGTGTGTCGCCATCGATATTTCTTGCCATAGACGAATGAGGACCGTCATATCATAGCTCGAACTTTGCAATTGGTTTTTGACAAAGATAATTTAGGCGAGATCAGCCAAATGTGCTGGGTTATTGTATTTTATGACGAATACAATATCATCAACATGTTATCACTGATGGAGCTTGATATCATCCCATGACACAATAACTAATAAGTATTTTCCCTTTAATCCTCTTTTCGCAACGAACAACTAGCTGTCCGCATACGTCCAATCACCAATGAAGATCTTGCCAACTTGCCGACTAGATTTCAACGCTCGGTGTTATCGACCTCACCGCTGACGCCAAACCAGGTGGTGGTGGCTGGTGAAAAAAAGCAATCGTTTAATTTCGATCACGTTTTTGGCCCCGAGACATCGCAAAAAGAGGTCTACGATAAGGCCGTGCTGAGGCTGATTGACAAATTTTTGGAGGGTGAGTCTTTTATTCTCAAAGTTTCCGGGTTTTCGGCTGTTAGTAATTGCTCACCACCTCGGCTTCTATCTTTCAGGTTATAATGTAACCATTCTGGCCTACGGTCAGACTTCATCTGGAAAAACGCACACCATGGGC